ACTCTCCCTTCTCCCAGTCTTTTACCTTTCAGCCACAGCTAACATTTTCTCCGAAGAAGCTACACTGGAGAGGCAGTGTGGTACAGTGGTTAAGAACTGGGTTCAATTTCTCACTCCTCCACATGTAGCCTGCTGGGTGACCCAGGGCCAGTCACAGCTCTTTCAGAACCCTCTCAACCCCACCTACCTCACAAGGTGACTATTGTGGGGAGAGGAAGGGAAGGTGATTGTAAGCCACTTTGAAACTCCTTAGGGCAGAGAAAAGTGAAGTATAAAAACCAACTCTTCTTCTTCTTCTACAGCTTTGTAGAAAAACTATTTGTTTCAGCTTGCTAGATTTTTGAAGAGAGTATGATTCACAAGCTTTCAGAAACACATTAAGAGATACAAACATAACCTAAATATAATTCAGTGCAGTGGCTCAGAGACTGTGGTTGTGAGAAAGTGAGTCCCCAGTTCTAATCTCACCTCTACCTTAAGAAAAACCATTTTCTCCCAGCCTCAGTCCTCCATCTGCAAAAGAGGGATAATACCACTGGCCTAATTTACAAGATCCCTGAAATATTATTTGTGAATTGCTTTGAATATTTAAAAAGTCACATTATGCTAAGTATCATTGCTATTGGCTGGGATTCAAAGAAATCCAAGTGCTGTCTTTCATTCACCCTCTCCCACACTAAATGACAGACTACTACTGAAGCAGAAGGGACCATCCAAAACAGTTGTTCAAAGGGGGAGGGGGGGAGTCAAGCTGCACACTGAGCAAACCCTTCAGCACGACAAAAGTAGCTCACTGGATCTCAGCCAAAATATATAGGGCAGGTGGCACACATGCTCAACTATTAACATTCCTTAAATAGTCAAAACTCATTAAGCCTCCTTGGAAAATATCTTCCGTTCCAGCCAATGTCACAGCAAGAATCGATGGTGGTAACAGTAAATGGGGACAACTCTGGTAGGAAATTGTATATGGTCTTGGCAGACTATTTATACCAAGCCCACATTTGAAGATCTTGTGCTGAAGATCAATGCTATTATATATGGTGGCTGATAATGTGGGATGGAGGATAGTAAGAGGCTGTTGATGCTGACTGGTACTGCTGGACACCACTGGTCATTCAGCAGCTGCATGTGGTACTTTCCCGGTGATGCTCTAAGCCACTCCCTACCTCCCTTAGCACCATGTATTGCCCACCACGCTAGGCACAAGGCATTGTTTCTCTTTACTCCCACTCAGCAGAGACCTCTCATCATCCCCCATCCCACTGCTCCAATGAAACAACACGTTTGGTCATTAGAAATCCTGCAATCCGCAAGGACAGTAACTTTAATATTTTGTAGTTCCATGCCACTCAACATTATATTATTCCAGAAGTGTAACACAGGGCTCAAAAATTTCCATGCATCAGGTTGCAGTGGCCCTTAGAATTTTCATTGTGGTGCTTAGTATTTTCAGCAGAGCTTTTATCATAGTGCCTCTTGGCAGTCCTCAGTGGAAGTACAAAGCTTATCATTTCACAGCAAAACATGTTTTGTTGTGTGACATAAAAATTCATGTGCACTAAGTTCCTCTCATTGCTTGTTTATATGCTAACAGTACACTATTCGATGTTGGGGGATGTATTTCATTTCTTAAAGAGCTGTTTTCTATACTGGCTCCAATATTCAATTAAGTGAAGCCTTTTAAAGCAATGATTACATTAGCAGAAGCTGAGAAGAAGGTAGGTTAGGTTTCTGCTACAATGACAATCAGGGTTACCCCCATACCTCAGGCAGCATAGCAAACTGGGTTCCAATCCCTATTCTGCCACAGAAGCTTGCTGGGTGAATTCGGCCCATCACAATCTCTGAGCCTAACCTACCTCACAGGTTTGTTGTTGATAAAGTGGAGGAGTGGGGAATGATGTAATAAGCCACTTTGGGTCCCACTTGGGCAGAAAAGGAGGATACAAACCAAAAAGTGAACAAATAAATAAAATAAGCATATTTCTAAACTACAATACTTAGTCATAAAATTATGAGAAACCATGAAGTGTTTAGAATTAGGTTTTGCTGCAGCAATAATCAGAAAATTTGGTCATTAAAATACAACACCCAAAGGCTGAAAAATAAGTCAGGTGCCTAAATTTTGGGGCTGGATCCTAGAGCTAAAGAAGATTTCTCAAGGTTCAGTGTAAAATATCCATCCATCTATAGCAAGCAAGACTTACATCCAGCCAGTGAAAGTTTTGTAATTTGAAAGGGCTGGTGTTTTTTGTTTTTTCTGTTTCCTTTCAGGTCACAAATGAGTTAGCCAGGCTTATAAAAACTGTGTAGGCTAGTAAGTGATCTGAACTTATTTGCAAGGTATATTATTCCCTTCACTGCTGCCTGCTGGGATTGTTGTACAGCAACTAAAACCTACCAATTTTAGAGAAAATTGTTCCCATGGATTGTAGTGTAGGAATACGGCAAGAAAGCATCCAACTTCCACTAGCCTTCCCGTTCTTAATCTCTGCAACAATGTCATGAATTAGCTGAACTTCATATATCAGCTGCAACAACTGTCAATTCTCTGTGCAAATAGATCGCCCCACACCTGTGCAGGGGCGACATTCTTAGAAGACCAAGTCATTACTCCAGTTAAAGAACAACTGTCAAGAATTCTAGACTCACACACAACTGTATGTCACAGCCTGAATAAAATTAATATTGCATCAAATGCATAATGAAAGATGTACTTTCTCTTCAAATTTAACTGCATTCCCCATTTATCCCTCCCTACCCACTTTCTAATTTATTCACCATGTTGTTTACCAGCTCCTCCATGGGAGTCTCTTTTCTTATATAACAAGAATTATCTCCCTTTCCTTGCTTTCTAGGCTGCAGACAGGGCAGGCACTCAGCTCCTAGAGAATAATTCTATAACATCTTCCTTATTTCTGTGTTCTTCATAACCTGCCTGGTTCAGAAAATTGTCAAAAATGGTTTCAAGCAAGTTTGGTATCCAGTAATAGGCTATTTAGAAAATTGTGGGATAGTTCCAGAAAAATCACTTTATAGAAAACTGTTAATTTTTTTAGTCTGTTTTTGAATTCTGAATATGTTGTTGAGGTAGAATATATGAGATGTATTAGTCTCACTATGTTTTGTTATTGAGTGGATCAACAGTTATTGTTCACATATATATACACACACACCTTTTTTGTTATTGTCGTAAATTTGATAAAATTTAAATGAAAAAAATAGGCTGCCTGGTTACTCCATTTCTCATTTTCCTTACAAATGACCTATAATCACTCCAAGGTTTGAAGATGTGTCCACATACACAAATTCATGCCTGCTAGTTGGAAACGTTTTACTGCAACTATTGAATGCTAAATTAATAAAGCCATAAATGGCAATGTGAATCATGGAGTTAGAAGGGACCTCCAGGGTCATCTAGTCTAACCCTCTGCACAATGCAGGAAACTCACAAATACACCCCCACACCCCAGTGACCCCTGTTCCATGCCCAGAATATGATAGAAACCTCCAGGATCCCCAACCAAACTGGCCTGGAGAAAAATTGCTTCCTGACCCCAAAGTGTCAATCAGCATTTCCCTGGGCATGTAAGAACTAAGCACTAATGCAACCCTTCCTGCCTTCCCTCTCCTGATCTGCCTAAATTCACAGAATCAGCATTGCTGTCAGTTGGCCATCTAGCCTCTGTCTGAAAACCTCCAAAGAAGGAGAGCCCACCAGAGAGGAACTGCTCTGTCAGGAAGTTCTTCTTAACGTTTAGCCGAAAATTCTTTTGATTTAATTTCAACCCGTTGGTTCTGTTCCGACCTTCTGGGGCAACAGAAACAAACTCCACACCATCCTCTAAATGACAGCCTTTCAAGTACTTGAAGATGGTTATCATATCACCTCTCAGTCATCTCCTCTCCAGGCTAAACATACCCAGCTCCTTCAACCTTTCCTCATAGGACGGTCTCCAGACCCCTCACCATCTTCATTGCCCTCCTCTGGACATGTTCCAGCTTGTCTATATCCTTCTTAAACTGTGGTGCCCAAAACTGAACACAATACTCTAGGTGAGGTCTAACCAGAGCAGAGTAAAGGGATACCATCACTTCACGTGATCTGGACACTATACTTCTGTTGATACAGCCCAGAATCGCACTCTCCTTTTTAGCTACCACATCACACGGCTGATTCATGTTCAGTGTATGGTCTACTAAGACCCCTAGATCCTTTTCGCACATACTACTGCCAAAACAAGTCTCCCCCATCCTATAAATATGCATTTGATTTTTCCTACCTAAATGGAGAACTTTACATTAATCCCCATTGAATTTCATTTTATGTTTTAGACCAGTTTTCCAGTCTGTCAAGATCATCCTGTATCCTGACTCTGCCTTCTACCATATTTGCTACCCCTCCCAATTTAGTATCATCTGCAAATTTAATAAGAAATTTAGCAAATTATTTTAAAATAAAACTGAATTTCTTAACATATGCTACCTACAAATGCTTAGTATTTTTTTTGAGAGACAAAGAAATAATACTAGCGGCAATACACAGAAAGTCAAGCACGCTTAGTAAGGCAACCAAAGACCCCTTTATAAATTTCCGCATGGGAAATTTGCATGGGAGAAGCTTCCCACCATATTGATGAGGCTGAAAATATATCTATGGATATCAGAGCCATAGGAATGGCCCTAATCCCATGGGTCTTTCCTAACCCAATTGACACTTCATCTAGAAGAAAAATACACATTATGTGGGAAACGTCATCCTTTATAGATCTTTGTTTAATACTTGTTTGTCATGTGAAGCTCCATATCATTAGGCCAACCAACATGGTTGCAGTATTCACACACATACCACAGCTAGTGGGAAAGCACTCCCATGTAAATGTACAAAAAGAAACTTGGGTACATGCAATTAAATGGTTATGTCCCAAGGGGTTTCAGATGCATTGAAATATGGATTTCAGATTCACACAAAGATGAAAACTAATGTTTTATCTCACCTATAAATGGGATTGATGCCAGGGAGTCACCAGGCGGACTGGAGCCAAAGCCTTTCCTTTCTTCTATTATTTTTATATTGACCTCTCGACGTGCATCATTGGGCAACCAACAAATAGTGTCAGGGACAGGCTCTTGATCATTTACAGCTAAAATGTAGGACTGATGCCGCAAAGGCTGTGGTGTTTGATGGCCAGAAGGAGACTTTTCTCGCAAGGTAACTGCTTCTGCATCATCAACTACGTCATCTGTTGCCTGCATCCTAGCCTCTTTCACACTTTCATCTTCAACCTTCTCTCCGACAGAGACATCTAAGTTAACAGAGGTAGTTAAGTGCTCACTAATCTGAGGGACAAATTTGGCCGCAGCTATACAAGAAGTAGGGGATAGGGTGCTCATGCCTAGTTCTGTTTTATGGTCTGGTATACTTTCCAGTTGTATTCCTGACTGCTCATCTAACAAACCACTGGGATGTATATGATTTACTTCTCTTTGGTCTTTGGTAGTAACATCATCTCGACTCTGATTAAGGGGAAGCGATGGTTTTGCTGCATAGGGTACAGAAGTCTTCAAAGAGCTGCTTCTTGTGCTTCTAGCTGTTACATGAGGTGATCTTTCCTGAAAAATGCTTGCAGACTTTGAAGCCCCAACAGCTACTGAAAAGTCTCTGAGATGCTGCAGTGGTTTTACATCTGGTGAGACCTTCTGGAACTGGGAGGCAGGTGGTGTGGATCTACTGCCCATTCTCCTACTGTCTGGACTACAAGCACCTGGAACCAAAGGTGAACCAGGAAGAGACATGTGAAATGCATGAGGCCGAGATCTCTCATAAATACCTCGGCGATCATCTGGTTTGGTAAATCCAGGCCATTTGTAACTCTTATTTCTTTCTCTGCTTAAATCTACAACCAGATTCTCTGTGTGGAAGTTTTCTAATGTTTCACCCTGCTTGTCTATTAAGTCCCAGGACCGTGTCCGATTATCACGGGAACTGACATTTGGTGAGATTAGAGCATCCTGCGAGACACTCCTTGGCCAATCTTTCATTAGTACAGGATCCTCGAGTCTTTCCTGGGACATGCTCCTTTGTCGGATTTGAACAGATTGCAGAATCCTATCATGAGAGGCGCTCCTCCGTCGTACCTGTGGACAAGTGCGATTTGGTACCACTTGATTATAATCTATTGTGTTTTGAGATGCTGCCCTTAAACTATCTAACCTTTCCTGTATGGTTCTGCAGCCATACATGTGCAAACGTCTGTTATCAATGTATTCTTTGTAGGTTTTGTAGTTTTTCCAGTCTATGTGTCGGTGGGCATTTGGAGAAGTATAGTGATTAGTAGTGACAGGTGGAATACCTGCTGTTTGAGCAGAAGTTCTAGAATTTGAGATTCCTTCTGGATGCCCTCCACAGCTTCCAGATTTGCTAGCCAGTCCAGCAGGATCTAATGGCCTTGTAAGTGGAGTCTGGGGAAGTACAATGGCAGCAGACACTGAAGCGGGCGGTGATGTGGTTCGTGTTTTTGTTTTTAGACTGGTTTGTTCCTTTAAACTGTATCTGACTTCTTCCGTTCGGTGTGTTGGACCAGTATGATTTGTTCTACAGGATGGCAAGTCTACAGCCTTCTCAGAAGGCACAACAACAGTTCTTACAGTCTCATTGCAAACACAGACAGCTGTGTTGGATTTTGCAATATCTGTTGGGGATGGAGGCACTTGTATTTCCATTCTGTAGGCCTTATCTGGTTGTGCTGATGTTCGAACAGGTCTACTAGTTTGCTGCTTTCCCAGTGAAGAGTCAGAAGGTGCTTTCTCTAGAGGTTGTGCCATGACAGAAGCTGGGGACTTTAGGCGGGGATAACATATTGGTGGTGGTTCAGGTATATCGTGGGCATTACCACTGTAGGCTTCATTACCTCTCAGGTAGGCATCATGGGAATATGCCTGTGAACAGAGGATTTAAAAAGAAATTAAGTCAACATTAAAATGAAAATCCATCCCTGTATTATAGAAAGATGAATCCAGTAGATGGCAAAATTCCTTGAAGGAAAAGGACTTCTCAAATAAGAGGAACATAGTACACCTGATCTTTGCTAAAGGATTAGTATTCAATGAAGAAGAAATGTCAAATTCTTACTGCTATTACTCCCCATGCATGGAAATACACCATGCAACTCTTCATAAAAGACAACGCATATTTTATACAAATCAGATGAACAGAAAATTTTACCAGTTGCTGCAGGTGATTGGAAGAGAGAAATTTGTGAACAGAAACAAAAAGGAGATTTCTTTTCATGCATATTTTCAAACCATGCTGCAAAATATTCCCCCTTTTGGAGCATTTCTGATGCTGGAAGCTAGGATTCTGCAGCATTCGACAGGTTAAACAAGGAATTTAGCTCTAGAAAATTCATGGTTTTTGTCATGTAGGAAAGCAGCCAGTCTATGCAGTCAGCCTGGCACTCAGTACAGATTCCTTTTCTAAAAGGCACAATTGCTATATCTAACGTGAACAGACAGTGGTTAATGTCTTTGTTGCCAGCCAACGCCCACCCTCCTTCCAAATAATCTTACATGTTACTTATTCTGTAAATGCCGTACTACTCCAAGTGATTTAAGTCAAAAACACTAAAGACACCATATTAGCATACGTGGTTTGGCAGCTGTTTATAAGCGCTTCTTTACAGTGGAATGTAGTCTAGCACAAGCTGTGTATGCTCTACATAAGCATAATAATTTCCATCTTACCTTGCATTTTAAAAATCTGATTTTACATTCTGCGTGTTAACCTTTTGTTATCAAGAGACATTCCAGCAATCACCATACAATTAGAAGCATATTTGAAAGGTCTGCCCCAGAACATATTAGGCACCATTATTTCACACTTTGCAATGACTTCCTTTAATTGCAATATGAAATAATAAGAGCTGACAACACACAGCTTGCCAATGCAGCAATCGTCGCAGCCTCTTTTATACACACACACACAGAGCTTAGGTGTGGTATCATATTACAGCGCTTCCTGCTCAAATCATAACATGCTCCATTCAGACAAATCAACATGCCCTGCCTTAGCATTAGACAGGTTGTAAAAGCCCAAATGCAGCCATATACATTAGACTGAGAGCAAAGTGCTTTAGAGGGCGAGGCGCTTAATGCATGGCTGTAACAAATACTATGATGAGCATTACTGAAGTGCAAACAAAACATTAAAAAGCAAACTGGAAAGAAATAAAACCAAGGCACAAACACAGGCACACATTAAAAGGCAACAGGATCGATAGTACAACTCAAATCCAGCTAACCAGCAGATCTAGCTTGCTCTCAAGCAACTTGCAGGCTTTCATAGCCCAGCTTCTTGCAAAATCTACCGAGAAACACATGCCTTACAAAATCAGAGAAATGGCTACTGCACATTTCTTACCAGGGCTGTGACATCCTTTGAAAACTGCAGCTGGTAGAAAACAGGAAAATATAGTAAAAATTGCTTATGGATGTATAAAAGATAATGTTGTCATACTGATGCTGGGTACACAGGAAGCTAAAAATAAATCTAGACCGATTTCTCTGGAAGGTACCAAGAGAGGTAAAGGGCAGTGGAGCATACACAATAACTTCAGCATCCTTAGGAGCATGCCCGTTTTAGGCTTTTACCTGCTTCTGGCATTTATTCTCTATCCTTCCAGAAAAAGAAAATACAGTTGTGCCATGTTTCCTTGGTGCATCTTTTGCTGCTGCATGCAGAGCCTGCTGGTTGTGCTACAAGGCTTCCCTTCTACTAGAGCAACATAACGGTCTTTCATCTCCCTTGAGCCGCTAGCATCCCTGCTTCCAGATGACGAAACAAGGGTTTCATTATGCATTTAAAATCTGTGCATCCCTTCCCCACATGCATCCGAACAGAACCACAAGCCATCAGCTGACTGCAGCTGCTTTCATAGTCCATGGCTGACATTAGAAGGATGATTTCAGAATAATCTTCAGAGAAAAAACAGCCCCTTCATGTGATCCTTTTCATTTTGGATATCCTTCAGTGTTTCTTCTCTGGCAAATTAGGAACTGGCTGTGCTTCAATTGCAAGGTGCTTCCTGATACAATGGTCTCAGTTTTGCATGCTCTCTCCCATGTCAGAAAACAGGGACTCTGGATTTGTGCTCTTTTAAGATCAGGAGGAAGAAATGGGCGGGTAGGCACAGAAAAAAATGCACAGGGTGAAAAGCAAGCTGTGGTAGCTTCTAAGGAAAAAATATATATACTGGCTCACATTCTAGAGTGTGCCAATACTGCCTCCCTTGTTCAACCCTGGCATATATATTCTAATCCAAACCTGCAGGTTTGCAAGATGTTCCACTTTTTAAAACATCACCTCTAATGTTAAAAGATACAAAACAACACGTCAGAAGAAGCAAAGGCTTCTTGTTTGCATCTTTTAGAGTATTTGATTATTATCTTATGGTCATTGCCACCATTTTAAAATGAAATTGAATTTTCTGAGATAGAAAATATTAATGGAAAGAGGGTTTAAGAGCTTATCTGAATCATAATTTTTTTCCTGCCTCCCTTCCATTTTTCTGTGGGGCAGTGACATAACTGGAATTCACCTGAGAATGTTTTAATCTATGTATTATTTAAATTGTTTTATTATCTATGAATGTTTTTTATCATTATGTTGTTCACCGCCCCAAGTGGTGTGTACTCGGGGGTAGGATGGTCTATAAATTTAAACTATAAATAAATAAATAACCACTAACAAACTAACAGAAATAATATGGAGAGCATAAAGCTTTTCCACACTGAATTTAATGTCATTTACAGTTGTGAACACAGTTCAGTCATTTCTTCCCATGAATATTGCTACACATGCTAGAGTTTTCTGCTGTGGACTCTCTCTTCCCATTGACAGCCCTCCTGCAAACAGGATTGAGCTCACAGAATACATATGCAGAAGAAGAAGAGAAGAGATTGGATTTATATCCCGCCCTTTACTACCCAAAGGTGTCTCCGAGCGGCTTACAAACTCCTTTTCTTTTCCCTCCCCACAACAGGCAGCCTGTGAGGTAGGTGGGGCTGAGAGAACTCTTGACAGAAACTGCTCTTTTTCAAGAACAGCTGTGCCAAAATTATGGCTTGCCCAAGGTGCGCACACCAACTAGATCATGCCCTTCATGTAGTAGGTGGGAAAAAGAGAGAGAAGTCCATGGAAGAAGGCCCATAATCTAATAGGATATGTAGCAGGTTGGGGGGGGGGGACCAACAGGGAATAAGAATATGCAACCCCAAATAACATCAGGTGCAACTCCAATTTACTCATTAATCAAAACTTGTCCCTACATCCATGTCCACTAACCGCAGTGGGCACTGAAGCATCTACAGAGAGGTGAAGTGAGCTCCACCAGCGCTGCCACCAGGAACCTCAAACTGTTTGCTGCTGCTTGGAGAGTCGGCTGTAAACTATCTGGTTGCCTCAGCAACCACCCCACACCCAATCCAGGAAGTTTTAACTTTGGGGCTCACTCCTGATAACTTTGGGGCTCACTCCTCATCCCTTAATTCTGCTGCTTCAAGAATTAGCAAGGTAAGGCAATATTTAAAGTCCAACAGAAATTGCAGAAAGATCAGTTAAAGAAACAGGTAATAAAATACCATTTAGAAACCAGGCAATTGGCAGTAAAATCATTTCTATTCATCTCAGAGCAGAGCAAACACATGCATGCAAAACCCCAACAAAACAAAATAGAAGCACCCAAAAGAGAATGGATATGTTTTCAACTGGCCCCAAGTTTGGTGTCAGGAGAATCACTGTGGGGTGAGACTCCCATAATCAGGGAGTCCCAAGCAGACCTGCCTGATACTTAAGATCAGCCACAGAAGTATTGCTACATGTTCTCTCATCTGATGTAAAGCAGGTGGACACTAGGAATGCCCGTGTTATGGAGTCCAGATTACAAGATGTCCTCCCCATATTGTCTTGCTTGGTGTCTTCTAAGCTTTAGATGCCAGTTAAACACTTTTCACCTGTTTTCCATCTCCTTTTCTGTGCCTCACCCTCAGATGTTGCTGGTGGGTTTGAAATGATGACTCGATTGCAGGTTCTTAGATTTTATTGCTGGTATTGTCTGGTCTATTATTATTATTTTATTGAAGTGTTCAGAATGCAGGACTTGGCTTGGAAAGCCAGGCTCAAATCCTTGCTCACCATGAAACTGGGAGCCTTGGGCCAATTGTCTGTTGTCTGACCTCACAGGGTCTTTGTGAGCATAAAAAGTAAAGGGGGGGTCACCATGTATGCCACACTGAGCTGCTTGGGGAAAGGCTGGAATTTAAAATATGATTTATTTTTAAATAAAAAGTTATTGCCATTTTAGTAATTGCTAGATTCTGACTGGAAAGTGATACACTAAGGAGACAGGGGATACATATTTTAAACAAACAAAATAAAAAGACAGAAAGCCTACACAGTAATACACACATGTCAACTAAGTTCCATAGCTCTGGCTTCAATGTACCAAAGCTAACATCTACAAATTCTGAGCCATGCAAAATTCAAACACAGAAAGAAATCATCCACACAGTTATAATGCTGTAACAGAAAACTATGGAAACTAGCTGGCAACCAATAAAAACAAGATATCACGAAAACCTCACCAGAGGAAAGAGTATCAAAGCTACTACAGGGGGAGACAGAAAGCACTTTACGCTATTTATTTTAGAGCCTACCAGGTTCACAACACAATTAACTTCAAGAAGAAGGAAGAGATCATACACACAGAATATAGGCAGGAGAGGTAAGCAAGGGCTGGAAAGAACAATGTTAGCCCAGATCAAGAATTCAGAACAGATAGGTTTAAACCTGAATGGACACTCTAGTGGCATACAAAAACATCCACTAGGGCTTGCTAATCACCTGACTGCTAGGACCTACTGTCCCCTTTAGACAACCTGTTTTAATAATACATTTGTGCATTGGTTTTAATGGATTTTAAGATTAGGTTTTAATTTATATGTTTTAATTTATATGTTTTAATTTGTAAACTGCCTTGGTGACCCTTATCAGGGCAGAAAGGCAGGATAAAAGTCTTGTTAATAATAGTAATAACAACAACCAAAAGCTCCCATGGAAGAGCAGAAGAGTCAGGGGAGAGTCCTTTGGAATTCAGAAAGCTACCTGACACAGTGTTTGCATAGAAGCTCCACAGATTCATCTAGGAGCTTCTGCCAAAGCAATTGGAAAAGAAGCAGTGATGCCAAACCTGTACTGTATAAATTGGGTCTCTGCCTCAGAACTACCTGCTATCAACCAGAGGAACAATTCTGTTTCTACTGCCGTCCATAGCATATGTCTTAATGTCTATCACTACATGATCTTGAGAAGTAAATTAATAGTCATTGATGGAAACAGCCTCTGGCATTTAAATAGCGTGGACACAACTAGCAAAGGAACAAGCTACTTGTTTTGAAAGTCAGTAAAGCACTGGAGATGATAACTCAGATCAACAGGTTTAACATAAAGCAGTTTCCTTCTCATTTTGATACAACAGTTAAGAGTTGCTTGGCATAAGAGGATTCAACATTTTACTTGTTTCGATAATTTATGATTTTGTCCTGACAAGGCACTGCAAACTCGAGCTATTAAAAAGTAAAGTAATTTAAAATTCTTTAAAGTTTAGAAAAACTTGTAAAAGACATTTGTGTTGTTTCAAGGAGCCAGATCAGTCTAAAAGAGCTAAAATGTTCACAATTAAGTATAAAGTGAAAATTATGTCAGCATCAGTGAAGTGGTATGAGGATCAGTATTCCCTCTAAGCTGAGTTAGGGTGAGCTAGCTCACAGTTTTTTAGCCTCTGGCTCACACATTTTTGTCTTAGCTCACAAAGGATGGCTCTGGAGCAAACTAGTTTATGCAGTAGCTAAATCACACACTCATAACTTTAATGTCAGTAGCTCACAAAGTAGAATTTTTGCTCCCAAGACTCCACAGCTTAGAGGGAACATTGATGAGGATACTTTCCTATGCAGATCTTCTACCCAAAACCTGAAGCACTTTTAAAATCAGGTGTATTTTACAAGCAGTTGTAGGTTATGGTTTGAGATGTGAGGTGCCCCTGAAAAAATTAATGCCCTTATCAGATGCAACCTTTGCTTCGTAGTCTTGTTCTTTTGTAATGCTTTAGTTGCAAGAAAGCAATTGGGTTCTTGGATTGCAGCCAAACACTGCACTTCCTGGCCTTGTTCTGGCCTGAAACTGAATGCAGAAGGCTTACAATTAGATGCACATGGGTAGTACTTTTCATTTCAAAAGTGACTGCACATGCTCACAGGACCTGTACACTCCTCTTCTTTTAAGCTTACATTGTCAATGCATCCTTTCTTCCTCAGATAACTGCATTTTCTGCAAGCTGCAGACAATTTCTTAATATTCTTCAAAAGGAACTTTTCTTTTAGTGCCATGTTTGT